ACACTCGAACTTGTATAGAATATATAATATGGAATATCATTACTGATTTTAACTAATTAAACATGAAAAAATTAGAATTTTTTTCCCTTCACACAAGAGTTGGATATTTTGTAATATATAGATGTCTTAAATTGACCAGACACATCTGTTCATGAAAAAAACATGATTGTTATGAAAAGTCATTTGTTCATGAAAGAACATGACTCATACGAAAAGTTAATTGATCATGAAAGAACATGAATCTTATGAAAAGTCATCTCTTAACTTCTATAAATATAAATATTCTCTAGAAATAGCCTAAGAAAAATTTGCATGTATAAACATAGGGCTTTGTTGTATTCTGAAGGGATTTGTTTGTATTTTTCTCAATATGTATGCATGCAATATCTCTTTAAAGAAAGCTATTACATGCCTCAAAGTCTTCTTCTTCTTCTTCAATTTTTATTTCCTATTATTTTTTTCTAACAATCACGTTATTGCTCTAAGACATCAATATTTGCTAAACACCTCAAAAAATTCTATATTAAGATCCTTATATTTCTTCGTAGGTGTATAGATTTATACTGGTGATTTTGTCACAATCTAAAAAATGGGCGTGATGACACTTGTCTATCCTTACTAAGACAAATTAGCCTCAACCCAAAAGAATCAAAAGTAATGTAGAAAGATAAAGCAAGAACAAGATAAAAGCAAAAAACTTATTCATTTTATTAACACCCCAAACCTGGTTGTTACATGTACAAACCACTAATACATAGAGTGCAGAATTAAGAAATAAGTACAAGTCTCAAGTCTTTATTTCTCAATTAGAACAACGCATTAAAAGAAGAAATAGAGGGTCTGCCGGGATGACAAGCAACTACCTCTCAACAGGTCCTTGGCAAGCCTTGGAAATTGGAGAGTAAGAGCAATCATGCTATACTGGGCTCGGAACCTGAACAAGTGTAGAAGCAAGGAGTGAGTACCAACAACACGATACCCAACAAGAAATCTAATAAAAACAAGTTAGAAATTGAGTACTCCTTTCATCCCAACCGAACCTCCTCAAACTAAGATATGCATAGAAATTAGCCCAACCTAAAAGTTCTACAATACACAACTCACAAGGCTCAATAATCACAACTCAATAGTTACAATTCAACAATCAACACGTATCAGGTACATTAATCTCAATATAAAGTAGATCGATTACAAGTAACTAGTGCATCAATCACAGTTAACAAATATGTCAAACATAAGCATCAAATCATAATAATCAAACTCTTGCCGGAATCATTTCCCTTTGGAACAATATCATTAATCCGAACCATTTTCTATTGGCTTTAAAACCTATCACTAGGCGAAATAATTTATCATCGTCTTTATATCATATCATTAGCTGGAACCATTTCCCATTTGTGTTGTATCACTAGTCAGAACCATTTCTCATTGGTTTTGTACCACTAGCTGAAACAATTTCTCTTCAGCTTTGTATCACTAGCCAGAACTATCTTTCATTGATTTATATCATATCACTAGCCGAAACCATTTCCCATCGGCTCTATATCACGTGACTAGTCGAAATCATATTCCATCGACTTTATATCACACGCCTCACCACAGTGTACAACAATCAATGCACATAAGCAAATTAGGTAGCGACCCGAACCGTCGTTGTTTAGGAGAACAAAAATCTAGGAAAATTCTGGGCCATTGTCCCGCCAGGGCGAGCCAGATGCCTCTAGGCCGGCGACGCTAGGGAGGGATAAGTTGGCGCTAGAGCAGGATACGCAAGAGAAAATGCAAATAATGCAAAATCCTATTTTTTCCTTCTTCCTAATATACCTAATTTAGTCATAAAAACACCCTAGAAACCCTCAAAAAGCTACTGCTAGCCTGGGAAGAAGGAAGAGAGAGATTCCTAGCATGAAGATTTCAATGGATTGCGAATTTCTGATCAAGATCATCGTCACAAAGCCTGGAAACGATAATCGAAGACCAAAAATCCGTACAGCTGCTTGGCGCCCATGTAGGCTAGGTTTTATAAATTGAGTAGTTAAAATCTGTGTTCAGTATGTAATATGTGTAAATCAATGGTAGGAGTCATGCGTAGGCCTTCGTGCACCGAAAGTTTTGTGGTTAAATCCTAGAAAGAAGCCTTAGATGATGATCTAGGGTTAGGTGATGGTTGTGTTTCTATAATTGTGTGATGTATGTTTGTTCTTGCTTCATTATGATACATGTACGAGTATAAATATTCCATTATTGATCACACTTGTTGTAAATGAGATAGATGAATGATGAATGCTAAGAATCGTGACTAATTTGTTTGAACTTGAGAATATACTTGTGATTGTGATTGTGGTGTGTTGACTGGATCGGTTGACACGTTTCGGCATAAATTGGTTGCCACGTTCCGGCATAACTAACTTGGATCGGTTTCCACGTTCCGGCATAATTATGGGATATGTTGCCATGTTCTGGCATAATTCTTGGATGGGGTACCACGTTCTGGTATACTAATTGTTTGAGTTTGGGTCCTATGATATGACCAATGATTTGATGTAATTGTATGCCTTGAGGTTTGTGAAACTGTACCTTGTTCGTAATGATAATGGATGTTGTATTTCCCGGAGTTGTTATATGGTTATGAGGGCTTATGTTGATTGTCCTTCTATATGAGCAAACTTGATATGTACCTTGATGAAAAGTGAACCGGAAAGAACATACCCAACCGGGAGGAGATACGGTCGGAGGGAAGTCAATGTTTCAAGAATGGTTAATATCCGAGAAAAGGGGGTTGTGTGTTGTAATGGCAAGGAAGTGTGGTAGCATACGTGATGAAAATGCTTAGACAAATTTCATCTTGGAGAAACGGATTTGTGTTAGTGGTTAGAAAGCTTGACGTAATGTGCTATGTGGCCTTGGTGTGTGATATGAAGAGGAAGTAAGGGTATGACGTGAGCAGTTAGTGGGAATGCTTATAGTGTATTTGGTGGACTTCTCAATGTGTTAGAACGGTTAGGCTATGATCAAAAGCCTAGTAGTAGGTTGATCGAGAAGGTGGTTAGTAGTTATAGTGAGGGTGCTAGTGTAATTCTGAGGTATTCAAGAGAGGATAAAGGTGGAGAAGCGAGTGGTTTATTGTATGTTTCTGCTAGTTGATTTCTTATTTTATGTAGTGGGTGTCGGGTTGACCAATGATGTCTACCAGTACGCGAGTTTTGTATTGATACTACTCTTGCTATGTCTTTT